AATAGAATAGAATAGAATAGAATAGAATAGAATAGAATAGAATAGAAGACTTGGAATGGACCTTGGAGGTCTTCTAGTCCAACCTCCTGCCTAGGCAGGAAACCCTACACAACTTCAAACAAATGGTTATCCAACATCTTTTTAAAAACTTCCAGCATTGGAGCATTCACAACTTCTGGAGTTGTTCCACTGATTAATTGTTCTAACTGTCAGGAAATTTCTCCTTAGTTTTAAGATGCTTCTTTCCTTGATTGGTTTCCCCCATTGCTTCCACCCATTGCACCTGCCCTCAGGTGCTTTGGAAAATAGTTGACTCCTTCTTCTTCGCAGAGGCAGCCCCTGAGATATTGGAACACTGCTATCATGTCTCCCCTAGCCCTTCTTTTCATTAGACTAGACATACGCAGTTCCTGCAACCATTCTTCATATGTTTTAGCATCCTGACCCCTAATTTTATACAATTTTTATTGTTATACAGGTAGTCCTGACTTACAACAATTCAACAGTTGTAATGTAAATGAACAGTTGTACAACAGTTCATTTAGTGATCATTCAAAGTTACAATAGCATTGAAAAAAGTGACTTTTGAATTATGACAGTTTTTCACACTGCTATTGCAATATCCCCATGGTCATGTGATCAGATTGTCTCATATTTATGAGAGTTGCCATTTCCCAGAGTCATGTGATCACCTATTGTGGTCTTCTTACAAGTAAAGTCAACGGGGAAGCCAGATTCACTTAACAATGGGGAAGTCAATTAACAATCATCAGACTAACTTAATAACTCCAGGATTCACTTAATAACTGTGGCAAGAAAGTTGATAAAGTGGGGCAAAATTCACTTAACAAATGTTTTATTTAGGAACAGTGTGCAGCCTGCAAGTATACAAAAGCAGAATTTATTTTATTTTTGTACCAGGGGCAATAAGATAAACCTAAAAAGGCTGGAAGAGGTGCTTTAGGGAGTTATGCAAATTACAATATACATTTAATCAATGTAGCAGGTCCTCAAAATTGTTTTGGCACATGCATGTTAACATACAGTGAGTAAAGCAATAGTGGTGAAAATATTAACATTCTTGAGTTAAACAAGGAGTCTAAGAACATTCCTGTTAGGATGTTGCTTTCTTCTAAGTATCCTTGATGCCCAGTGGTTTATTATCTTTTTAATGCCCAAATTAACATTAACATGTAGCTGATAGTTTATTTTTGACTTGAAAAGTGTGTTTGATGAAAAGTAATTTGCTTGCCTAACAATATTATTTTTATATTCATATATCACAGCAAAAATGTTGGCTGTCAGTCACACTATCTGAATTTCTTTCCATATCATGGGTAGGATCCCTTCTAAAAAGGAATCAAACAATGGGAAATCCATCTTTTAATTTCTACCACAAGCTATTCACTTAGAAACACTAATCACTTTATTCTTTCCTCTCTCAAAGACATACAAATAAATATTGCTTTGTTGTCAGTTTTCTAGCTCTTTCCTGTCAAATGAAAGGTTTTCTAGCTCTTTCCTGTCAAATGAAAGAAACCTGATCACAGCACTTCTTTTAGGTAATGTGTTCAGGCAATTTTAAAGGAAAGGGTCAAGGTACCATCTGTCACTCTTTCCAAATGGAAAGAGTGACAGATGTACCTTGACCCTTTCCTTTAAAGAGATCACAACAATATGGGTCCTGAACAAATGGTCTCACATGAGATAGAATATTAGTGAGGTTGAACTTGGAAGAGATATGTCAACCTTGGAAAAAGTCATTCTCAACTTCCTCCTTTTTTCTGGCTGGCTCCCAAATTCTGAGACCATTGCCTCTTCCCTAGAAGGGTTTGTCTGAAATCTTGTGAATCATACAAAATATTTACTGGAGAATGGATAGTCTCTTTGCCTTCTTTTTATTGTTGCAGTACACCTCTTTTAATGCCATATGATGCATATGTGCAGAAGAGTAAGAGAATTCTTCTACTACCCTTGCGATCAATTTATAAAAATAAAAAGGAATAAAATAATGGGGCAAATGTCTTTCTGATATATACTATAAATGTTGGAGAACATGGACAATTATGTAACTTTCAGGAGTTTACCTTGGATTAGGTAGCTAGTGCCTTGGTTTAACTTGAGGAGTTGCAGCCAACATGCACACAATAAAATGTTATAAATCTGGCTTAATATTTATGTCATATAAAAAATAAGCATGTATATATTTGATGTATCTGATGTATATATTTAATGTAATAATGTAAATGTATTTAGTGTTGCCTGATTTTGAGAGGCGTAACAAAATAACATTCCAGAAAAAACAGCTATGTTGAAGGAATGATTTCTGTGAATATTAAAGTGTATTTATTTCATTTAATTCCAATTCTGAAATTGAATAGATTACCTTTGATCTAATTAATGCCCTTTCCTGTTGTGCCTATCCTCTAGAACAGCATCCCCCTGGAGATCTGAATGAGTCTAGCACTATTGGCTTTTTGAAAATCATTAAAGAACTGAATGTTCCTGCAGGCATTTGGGCCAGAAGGTTAACTGAGCCCCTTTGTCTTCGTGGTTTGAAAGCTTTTATTTTGTTATAATCTCAGCCATGTGTAATAGTATGATTTATGTATTTTATTTTATGAACAAAGCTGTTTGTTTTTATGTTTTAGCTTTCAATTTTTGTACAACTTCCAGCATCATCTTTGACACAATTTGTATAAATAAATAAATAAAATGGAGCAAAAAGGAATCAGCTTCCCCAAAATAAGCAACCCATACATGCACACACATACAAATATCTAATTATTGGAGATTTATTTGGAATTTCTTCATCAGTCTTCCCCTCTCTTGAGCTTATCCCAAGTGCTTTTTTGGTGGCATGAACTGTAAATTTGTATTTGTTGCCATAGTTAATAGAACCAAAACAACCTCTCAGAAAATGAAATTATGATGGTGGAATAAATTGGAAAGTTAAAGTCCAAATCTCAAATCTGAGCTATAAAGCAAAGTGGCTTTCAATCTACATTCATATATGCATATCCATTATAATATTTATCTTGGAGAAAGCAATATTATGAAACCTGCAGGAAGGTAATGATAAATAGTAAGCCAAACTAATAAAATCCATGGCGTAAGAAAATGCAATAAATTAGCCAAAACTAATTTACAGAAATAATATTGACACTCCCCCATTGTTCTACCTTTGCAACCTAACTTTATTTCCACTGAGTTTATACATTATATTTTATTATAATCTTTATTTTGGAAGGACTCATTCCTACAACTACAATATTTTCTCACTTTTCCCCTTCCTCTTAACCCATTCATCTTCATATAGTTCTTTTGCTATTCAGTCCTCATGAAATCTCTCCCTATGACTAAACTATTTAACTGTGCTAATATTGGTCACTTTTTTTATTCAGCTGATATTCATTCAGCACATTTACCTGTGTTTCATTATTTACTCTGTTCCCATTGCATTCAATGTACTTTAATGTTTGACCTGACATATCTTAACAGTCACTTCTATGTTACAAAGCAAGCAGAAACATACTGTTATACACAGCCCTCTGTTTCTTTCAACTAACACTCATTCCTTGCAACAGACCATATATTATCTAGTACCTTTGTATTATCAATTGCACATATTACAATTTGTCAATTTCACTATCTTTAGTAAATGTGCTATGAAAATACATGACATTAATCTCTTTCCTCCAATTTTCCGCCATTTAATATAAAGTGCAGTTTACTCTTAATTTGAAGGTTTATTAATTTATTAATATTTATTTATTAATATTCCTCACTCCATTATGTAGTCTGATATGCACTGAAAATGATCAGCTTCTCAGCCAATGTCACCTCCATACAAATCTATATGTGTATTCATTTTCTGACCAATTATGTGTAGTGGCACCTAAATACTCCTTGTTCATTTGATAAGTTGAATTATTTACTATACATTCCATTTTAATGTGGATTTTACTTTTGTCTTATATCATTCCATTTAGGAACTTTCAACTACATGGTCATAGAAAACATTTTCTAATTCAAGCCACTTCATTTGTCATAACCAACATGTGCACAATAAGCTTTGTCTCACATAGTCATACATTCCTTAATACTCTTCTAAAGAAGAAACATCTGATCTGTGTATTCTCTGCTTGACATAAAACTACACTGCATTTCCTACATTTTTCTCTAAACCACCTCACATATTGTAATATTTCTACATTTGCAGCACATCCACACTGTAATGTTTCTGTACTTAGAGCAGCCTTACCATTTTTAACATTTTCACAGCATTTGTGACTTCCTTTTCATCATTCATTTTCTTGAACATTAACATTTAGAACATTCATTTGAATTCTGGTCTTGACATATTACTGTCATCCAAGTACAGATATCTAAAAACTCCTACCAGCATTCTATCACTTCAGTTTCATCCTAAATCATCTCTTCACTTTCATGTTCAATTCCATTCTCTCTGCTGGAGACTCCTTATTTAGCCCTTTTCATCTACTTCTACATCAAAAACTTGCATTTTCTTCAAACCTGAATTGCAAGGATTATATATGGTTTATGTGAACATAAAATTAATGGGAAGGAGAGTCATTCTGATAAACTAAACAACCTTTCTCTGCCAACAACCAGTTGCTTCTTTTCAAATTCCTTCTCATGCACATAGTAGATAAATCCTTAAAACAGTAATATGATAAAGAATTGTAATTTCTTGATTTTTAACTAAACCTAAGTTGGAGAAATCTGAACAAAGACACTACTTTTGATCCATCTGTATCACATTATACTACATTTTAAAAGTCAGAGCCAAATAGGCTAAGGAAGGAGGGGAAAGTGGTCCTGCTGTGTGACTAACATCCGGTAGTCTGATGCTTTTGAATATTATGGATTGTGGATTTTTTCCCCAAGGTCTTTGTAACTTGGGAATGAATGCAATTGCATAAAAGCACTTGCATTACAATAAAAATACTGTAGCTGTATTAATTTCTTCAAGATTTATGCTATGCTATGCTATGCTATATTCTTTCGAGTACTGATTAGGATTTCCTTGTTTGTTTTCTTTCAAGCCATATTGCTCCCTTCATCTCCACCTGAAGGTTTCAGAGAATCCTTACACTTCTGGTAATATTGCCAGTCGCGATACAGCTCCAGGTATCATCGTAGCCTCTGGTAAGAAAGATTCCATGCTATATAACAAAAGCCTACAATTTCTTATTATTAAGTGCAACATAAAAGTTCAAATTTTCAACTTGTGGTTCAAAGGTGACATGAAGTAATAGTTGCAACCAAGAAGATCTAGTTTAATTTTTTTTTTTTCATGAACTCTCAAGTTTGGCCTGAGTCAAATCACTGTGTTTCATCTTCTGTCAGCAAAACAAGGAAGGTAACAAAATTGACTTAACAAAACATAACAAAAAAGGTGGGAACTATTTGTTTTGTGATACCCTTTCTTGCTGGTTTGTGGCTATGAAATTGAATCTTGTCATCATCTAAAGGACAACATTTGTCTTACCTTTATTTTTTAAGGTTGGTGCAAGAATTGCAACATGATTAACTAAGTAATATATATGATAATAATAAAAATAATATATATAAATATATATAACATCCACACAAACTATTGATAAATTAACATTGTTACATTTTTCTGCTTTATAATATAAATTGCATCCTTAAGTCATCACTGTTCAGCACAATATATATTACTAAAAGCACAAAGATTTCAGTTTTCTTTTACATTTAAGTTTTATAGGTTGGGGTACTTTTCTTTACAGGTAACATTGGATCAGAGTTGTCAGAAAATGATATCAGCATGTTTGTTTCGTCTGATGCTGGAAACACTTGGAGACAAGTGAGTAGCAATGAAAGCAAAAAGTGGTCAACTGGGGGAGGAGAATAGTGTGAAATACCTCTAAGGAGCAGTTTATTGGAGCATTTTACTTGATTGTGTAAAACAACTATTTATCTCCATAAAGAGGCTAATTTTCTGTTAGCCTCCACATTCCAGTCCTCATAAAACAGAGGATAATGTGGACTGGAAGCAGATAATTTCCCCCTCAGCTATCCTCTCTTCATTGAACTTTGAACATGTGTTGATTTTGGGCCAAAAGTTAGTAAATAACTAATATACGGTATCTATGATTATTATATTTAGTTGGTATTTTGTGTGCTTGAATTTTGTGTGCCTTCCATTGTTTTCACATATTCCCTTTTTCTGATAGACCTGTTTATATAATTAATGTTTGGCTTAAATTATTGGTTGAAAAAGGGAGCTCATCCTATCATAGTTACCCCTTGAGCTAGCATAAAATTTATTAATTTCTCTATTGTTTTCAAAATACTTTCCTTTTTATGCTTTAAGAGGTAGGCTGAAGAAAAAGCCCTGAGTTTCCGTCTGACTAGTAGCAGCCTATCTTAATTACTTTTTACCTTCCAAGGGGAAACTGTGAAAAAGGGTCTGACAAGTAAGATTATCAATAATCACTCTTCATGTATGTAAGAAGACCAAACTAGAATCCCAGTTTAGGGCATCTGCTCCTTTTTTGTACAATTATGAATGTTACCATTATAGATATTATATGTTATTGGAAGAATCACATATTTTCATCCTGCATAATATCCTTTAGCAGGTACCATGGCATCTCAGTAGTTACTTTTTAGTTTACTGTTATTTAATTCATTTCTTTTTCCTTTTATTTAATCCTACTGTCATTGATTTATGACAAGAGGAAAATGTGGTTCATCATTTACATGCTATTGTGCTGTTCATTCTCATTTACAAAGTTATACTAACTTAATTTCCTGGTTACAAAACCTTTGAAAAAAGATGTTGTAGTGACTAAACAAGACTTATTCAGTTAGATATGTGCTTTCTCCTTCCCATATTTCACTCAGGCACCAAAAACTCAAAATCTCAGATTTGTAAGTAAGGAGATTGTGTTGCTGCTTAAAAATGTCTGGTGACAGCAAAATGGGGGTGGAGAGTGGGTGGGTGGGTATGTAACTAAATCCTTTCCCATTGGCTAAAGAAAACAATTTTGTATTATAGCTTAAAAAGTGGGAGGAGTGAAACTAGTGCCTTACCCAGAAAAACCTCCAAGCAGATTCCTATAGCCTCAGGATTCTTGAGCCTTGTTCTTGAGGCTGAGAGGATAAATAATTATAGAATGTAGATCTGAAGGAATTATCAGAAAAGACGATCCCAGATAGAGGGATCTTCATCTCTTTGATCTAATGAACAAAGACATGAAGGCGGCTTTCTAGTAAATGTATGCGGAATGAGAAAGGGGAATTGAGGAAAACTTGTTCTTGCCTCTATTCTGGGAAAGTAATTGCTCAGTGGTTAGATATATGAGAAAAGCAGAGAGGAAGGCAGGTCAGTGGAAAACATATTTCTGATTAAGAGAAAGAAAGCTGTTGGCTGCTAGAAAGACAATGGAAATATGTCTGCAGAATCTAGATAAGGCATTAGAATTCCCCACTAGCATGCTTTATTTCAATGGGTGTTTGCTCATTAAATATTGTTAAATATAGTTAAGTGGACTAATTTCTATGGATTATTATAACTTTAATTATTGTCTCAAAATCTAAAGTTCCATATTTATGCTTGGCAAACTGAGCATAAGTTTTTGAAAAGCTATGTTATGCCATTGACTTTAATCATCCATAAGTAGCAAAATACAACTAGACATAAATCAAATCTAACTGCCAGGTATGCCTTCTCTTCTTTAGTGAACCATTTATTGATAAGAACAAGAAATAAACAACAATAAAACCAATACATAAGAACATTATCTTGGTTCAAGTGTTAAAGATTTACATGTCTTTCAGGTAGATTAATTTTCAGAATGGCCTATGTTCATATTGATATAACTACAATCTCTTACACAAAGCTAAGAATGAGAATTACTAAATAAAATGTGTTGTTTTCCCCTTGCTTTCCTACTTCCCAAATTAACTCTATATCCATTAACTAAGTATAAGCATTTAAAGAGCTCCAACAATCAGATAATAATATGGACAACAATATGCATGACTCTTGTATATCACTGAATACATTTTAGCAAGTACTTGGCATTTAATTAATATGCAATTACCACCTCATAAACTGAATTCAAGAACATACTTAAGAGAATTAACAAAGCAAAGTGTAAGTGCTCTATTAATACTTATTGAATCTCTTAGACATAAAACATTGGGAGTCCTGTCTATAGGTCTCTAAATATAAATCGAAATGTTTTTATGGTACCAATTAAAATATGTAGTATATCTAAAAAATATGGTTCTGCACAAAATTGAATTAATATCTAAAAAGAATTATTTTAGGAGCATCCAACATTCATATCAAACTTCTTTTGGTGGTGGAATAGAAAAGATATCCTCAAACTGACTATCCTATAAGTACAGGAGAGACAATATTTCTTAAATTTTTAGGCTTTAAAACTGAAACCAGCAAGAATTGGTTCCAAAAAAGTGCTAGATACCACACTTTAATTTTAGATTGGTCTGGAGAAAAGTATTCATGATGATATGTTGTTCACTAAATGAAGTTTGCAAACACATTCCATGCCACATAGATTTCATAAATTATATAGATCTAATCTAAAAGTAAACAAAGCATTTATCACTGTGAGTAGGTTGCTCTAAATTAATCAGAAATAGATGGCCTTTATGCTTCCAAATGTAGACCAAGATTGTATTTCTAGGAATGTGATGAGAACCTCCACTTCTTAAGCAAGACTTTCCAGGGGGAAATTTGAGGTTCAGGCTCCACCTCTTCTCTGAATAACAACTTCTCAGAACAACTGATTGGTTTACCAAAAGGAAATTCCATTTTTGTGGTTGTTAAATCTGCAAGATTTATTTATTTGATTGATATCCCACATTTCTAATCAAATGAATACTTATTAGAGCTATGGTTAGCAAAGTATACAAATGTTGGAATTTACAACATTTTTTTTCATATAACTAGAATTTTCATCTAAGAAAGTTTATATGCTGCAATACATGAAAAATGTATGCATATATATTTTACTGTTTGTGTTTGGCTTGGAAAGCTACAGATAAGGTACCACTAAATGATTAGTAAAAAAAAAAGAATAATGATTAGGTCATTGTTCAATAACTGTAAACCTTTCTTTTGAATAAATTATTACTAATCCTATTCAGGTATCATATTATCTGATATTCTCACCATGTATACATCTATATTGCTAAAGACTTCCATTCTGCAGATGACCAAGCTCCTTTTTTCTTTCTTTCCTTCCTTCCTTCCTTCCTTCCTTCCTTCCTTCCTTCCTTCCTTCCTTCCTTCCTCTTTTTTTCTAAACAATGAAATAAAATCTTGATCATTCTCATTCCTAACCATATTTTTTTTTGAAGGGGGAACATTAATATGATTAAATTTTTATATACTTATTTATTACAAAAGAAACTTGTCGCCCCTGGGTTCTACATACAAAGGATTCCATTATCTTTTTATGTGTCTCACTAGATCTTTGAAGATGAACACAGCGTCCTTTATCTGGACCAAGGTGGGGTTTTGGTTGCTATGAAACATACATCTCTGCCTATCAGACATCTCTGGTAATTAATGTGACTTCTCTAATTCCATTCATCACAGAGTCCTTCAGTGTGTATTATATGCCATTAGCTGTTGGATTGTGACCAAACTTTTTACTAAGTGCCAGGATATGTCAATTAAACAAATGAGCATGCTACCTCTTTTTCATCCCAATAAAACTATATCTGCATTTTATACATACAATTTTTGACAAACAAAACACTTGCAGGGCAATATTATAATCTACATTAGTATTAAGAAGTTGCATTGTTTTGTTCTAGCTGAAGGTTAGGAAATTTAGCTGCAGTTTAGAAAAATATAAAGAACACTGAAGGTTAAACCCTCTTGAAATAGAAGAATAAGAAAAGAAAGTACAAGAAGAAACTAAAAAAAGAACATGGTGTAAATATTCACGTTGGGGAAAAACAATTTTTTTTTTTTTAAAAAAAAGTAGTAACCAAGGACAAATGTAACCAGAAAAAGTGCAGATTCTATACGGAAGAGCACATTTTGATATCAATGCAACTGAACTTATTTTGTTCCTATACTAGGTGTTTCTAACATGGGTGAGTTTTAAAAAAAGCTTCTTTAAAGGGATACTGTGATTGTTCTCCCGTACTTTCAAGAGCATCTCTTTGAAACCATTAGTAAAATATGTACAGTTCTAGAATTTATGATTTGCCATGGAACCAATGTGACAGGATCTCAAGTGGATGGTTGTATCTACAATTACTAAGTGTGAGATCAGTTGTAGTCCTAATTCTGAGTTATTGTCAGTATTCATACATTTCTGAACATTTATTTATCTCCATTATTGTAGTAGCTATGATATATAAAAATACACATGGAATGGGTTTCTTATCTGACTTTAAATCTATTGTATCATACATAAAAAGGTATTTTTATATTAAAGATATTCTAGGCAAAGAATTGTTCCTCGGTCACTTTGACATCTGTTATTATACTTCTAGTGTACTTCACAATTCCACATTCTACAATTTTAGCATGATATTCATGTCCTCCAGTGGTGATCCTCCACTGCTGAACTACAGTTTTCCAAAGCCCACATATCACGAGAGAACTTAGTAGCTGTAATTCAATAACCACAACCTTGCATTATCCACTTCCAATCATTCCTAAGAGTGTGTCAACACTTGTTATGTATGCCTTTGGGTGTCCTGTTTTTTAAATGCTTTCTTTTTGTGTCCTATTTTTAATATGTTGATAATGATAGTTTCATTCTAAGCCTTTCCAAATTAGGGAAATTATGCTTAATATGCCTGCAATATATAAGAATAATATTAGATGATTTATGTTCAGCTTTTGCCATTTATCTGCATTTAATTCCATTTCTTCCATTTGCTTTAACATTCTAATACAGATAGTCCTTGACTTACAACCACTATTGAGCCCAAAATTTCTGTTGTTAAGTAAGACATTTGTTAAGCCAGTTTTGCCCCATTTTACGACCTTTATTGCCACAGTTGTTAAGTGAATTCCGGCAATTGATAAGTTAATAACGAGTTGTTAAGTGAATCTAGCTTCCTCATTGACTTTGCTTGTCAGAAGGTCCCAAAAGATGATCACATGACTTTGGCTTACAACAATGGTCATAAATATGGAACCAGTTACAAAGCATCTGAATTTTGGTCACATGATCATGGAGATGCTACAAAGGTCATAACTGTGAAAAACAGTCAGCCACATTTTTCAGTGTCACTGTAACTTCGAATGGTCACTAAACAAACTGTTGTAATTCGAGGACTACCTGAACTTTCAAAATACATGCCATTATATATGTGAACATTACACAAAATAACACATAGGAATATATAGTTCTTAGGGAGATTGTGTGTCCTTAAAACAGCTTTTCTTTATTATTCTTTATTTATTGTAATCTATTATGAAAAGTTATTTATAACATAGAAATAAATTATTTTTATTTCTTCTGTTACTGTTTTCTTTTGCTTTTTTATCACCAGGTTAAGTTTTGATGAAGGAAGATCTTGGAGCAAGTACAGTTTCACCTCCATCCCGCTTTTTGTTGATGGGGTTTTGGGAGAGCCTGGAGAAGAGACTTTAATAATGACGTGAGTAGATATTATTTATTTTTATTTATTTAGAAAATTTATATTGCTGCCTACTTGTACATGGCAACTCAAGGTGGCTTACAAGCAGGGGTAGGATTCAAATTTTTTAACAACCGGTTCTGTGGCGCGGCTTAGTTGGTGGGCATGGCTTGGTGGTCATGTTATTGGCTGGGTGTCGCCAACTCAATATCACTCACATTGAGGCACGCATCTCCTCGCCTGACATCTCATGACTGTGGAGATGCTGCAACAGTTTTAAGTGTGAAAAGTGGTCATGTCACTTTTTTCAATGCCATTGTAACTTTGAATGGTCACTCCACACAAGCAAAGTACCAGCAAAGGAAGGGAAAAAATTCCAGAGAAGTTCCTGAGAACCAAGAATACCAAGAATGTAATAAGGGTTAACAGAGAGGCAGTTTCTATAAGCAAACCCAGAATGTTTCCTTCCTGTCTTCCTTACAGAATTAGGCCAGTAATTTCTTCTAACAACCAGTTCTCTGAACTGCTTAGAATGTTAACAACCAGTTCTAGCGAATAGGTGCGAACTGGTAGAATCCCACCCCTGCTTACAAGGACATAAAAACACAATATAAAAGAAATAAAAATAAAAAATAAAACAAAATAAAAAACAAAATTAATAAAATAATAACTCCCCAACCTGGTGACCACACACATTCACACCAGCCATTTAATGGGCTCCATTTTGCTCTGAGTTCCCCAGTCCCCTTGGCATTATTAAATAGGTAAATCTCACACGAAATAACAACAATAAAGTCCATTCTATTGTTATTAAATATAGGATATCTAATAGATGAAATATCATTTGTAATCTAGGAATATAAATAGAATGTGAAGTGTTACACTGATTACGTCAATATAAGAGATGGTATTCAGCAGGTTCTGACATTTCTGGTGAACAGTAGAAATTTTGAGTATTTGGAGAACTGGTAGCAGAAATTTTGAGTAGTTCGGAGAACCAGCAAATACCACCTCTGACTGGCTCCACCCCTATTCTCTATTCTCTACCTCCCGAGTCCCAGCTGATTAGCTGGGTCTTCTTTGGTTGCCCTGCATAGGAGAACGGAGCTGGAAAGCAAGTTAGTGGGGTGGGGAGGGAATGGGGATTTTACAGTATCCTTCCCCTACAATGCCCACAAAACCACACCCACAAAACCACACCACACCCACCAAGCCACTGCCACAGAACCAATAGTAAAAAAAATTGAATCCTACCACTGGTCAATATGATTCTTGTGCACTCTTTAGTAGGATTTTGCAGATACAAAAATTGATGGGGATTTTGGGGGGGTTACGATTCAAGCAAAGGACCTCTTTGGATATGAACTTGCAAAGAAGGAAAGAGGTGCCTCTCTTCAGCACATCAGATGTACTTCACTGCCTTACCATGTGGATGCACATAAGCCCAGTCTGTAAAACAAAATAGCCTATTTCAGCAATTCTCTCCTGTCTTGAACTTTAACCATATTGAAGTAGAGCTACTTGCATCTGTGAGACGAAGCACCAAAGTAGATTGTGGTTGATTTATGGTACATAACATAATGCTTAATTTTTCATCAAGTATTAAGTAACTGAAAGTTTATCCACTAATTTCTGTTAATAAATAGATATGTGCATGAGTATGTGTGGGTGGGTGTTTATGTGTAATGTTGAAAGAAAAATTACGCTGCTTTTATTATTGCTATATTTGATTACTGAAGTTTTAATTTGTTCAACTTCATGCAGCCAGTTCCAAAAGAATAATCACCATCTACATCAATAATACTGATCAGCAATTTATAAATATTGTAAATAAATGAAAAAATAAATACATAAATAATACTTGTATTTTGATTTCCTGCCTTCTTGCCTTCCTTCCTTCCTTCCTAGAAATCCCACTTTCTATATACTAGCCATCTATGTTCATAATTAAACCTGTAACTTACAATATCATTTGAAAGCTGTTATTATAATTGGAATGTATCGCTAAAGAGAGATTGGAAGCTTTTTTATGATTAAGGCCACAATCCTGTATACACCAGAAAAGCCCCCTTTTTTTACTAGGGCCATAATTTGTAAGGAGATATGTATAGAATTATATTCGTTTCATTTTGTTGATCTGTTAAAATAATTGTCTGCTACTATTGTAATCATTCGATGTTTTATTCAGTGTTTTTGGACACTTCAGCCATCGTTCTGAGTGGCAGTTGGTAAAAGTGGATTACAAGTCCATTTTTGATAGACGCTGTGCAGAAGATGATTATCGACCCTGGCAGCTTCACAGCCAGGTAAAAAGTCTGACCTAGAATTGAACTGAAATTAATATAATAATTAATTAAAAAGTTGGGAATCAACCTAATTTATTGCTTCAAAATCATTGAATTCACTATCTATTCACACTTTGGTATACATTCTACCTGCAACTAGTAAACATTTATGGTGAAAGGTAAAACTTGAATTTTTTTTAAAAAAAGGCTTCATACTTCATTGTTTTGAACTGAATGGTGAATTCTCTCCCTCCCCACCTATTTTAAAAGACAAGGAAGTACAGAAATAGAAAAAGAGCTGGTCCCAAGGCCAGACCAAAAAAGCTATCTCTGCAGTGTTCAGTTCAGTTTCTGGACAGAAAACAATGTCTTCCTCTCTTTAAAATGTGCAATCTTGGAATAGTTCACTTTTTAAAACAATGTGTTCAATGTCCTAGTTTCTCTGTGTCACCTGCCATCCTTGCAAACCAAAATAACGTTCAATTCAAAAGAATTTAATCTAGTCACACTGTTACACTAGACACTGGTTAACGGCACTAATTAAGAATCAGTTCAACGTTAATTTGACTGTTGTCAGGGTCTTAATCCTTCTTGTTTGGGAATCTACATGTTATTTTCTCAAGTTTAGCTGGCTGAGACATGGAAAGTTCATAGGCCCTGAAATGAGATTGCTACTGAACAACAAAACATTTTCTGTGTTATGGACAGCACTATTTGAAACTACCTAATTACTTGGAAAGCCGCATCACATCCATTAAATTTACAAGAGTATAGAATTTCTAGGCTCTGTCACCTCACTTTTTTTTTCTTTTCTTTTTTTAAACAAATTTTATTAATTTTAAAGACAAACAAATCATCATTGACCATTACATACTTAAACCTTTTTCCATTATAAATTTTACAAGTCAAATAAAACCTTATTTTATACAATATAATTCTATTTTAACCCATTTCCATATGAGCATACAAATGCCTCTTATCCAATTTCTCTTTATTTCTCTTTACTCTTATTCAATCTTATTCAATTTCACTATAATTATTTCATCTATTTCTTTCTGACTTGGTTACCATTATTGTCATTCTATATTTCTGCAAGGTTTTATTAATTCTCCCAAAAACATAAACACACAACACACAAACATATAAAAAATCTTTTAGGAAAGTAACTTGGCCCCAGGTACCTCTCTCTACATGAACTTCAATTATATTCATGCTCATCTTACATATCATTACCTATTTTATTTACCATTCTATATCTTCTATATTAGCTTCTCCACACATTTCAATCTTCTTAATTCTATCTTATTTAATCCATCTTAATTTAAGTCATTATATTTGTATCTTTTGTCCATTCTTTATTATCCCCCTGTCTCATTCCTTATAATAAAAAAAAAGAATTTCTCCTGAAATCACTAATCAGAGTATGATGCCTTTCTGTCTTCCCCCTAAATTAATTAGATTAACATTTAAAATAACACCTAATACCCGATCTGATTCTGCTTGGTACATTCTATCTTCTTAATTTTTTGTTTTTTAATAAAAAATAATAATAAATCCAAAATGATTAAATACATAGTTAAATAGTAGATCTAAATATTAAATCTTATAATATTCCCATTGCTTTTTCCAAAAACAAATGCTACTATAATAATAATAATACCACAAACATATTAAACTCTTTAATTAAAACTCAATATTCTAAACATTCCCTTTAATATTTTATTAAATTTTAAAATCAATCATTTCTAAGCATTTCAACATTTTAATCTCTTATCAACTCTTAAACCATTCTAATTTTCTATTTCTAATACAAATGCTACAATACCATCTTATGTACCTTGCAAAATCTTTTTTTAAAAAAAATGTACTTTACCCTTTGTCCCTAAAAAAGACTCCTCTTTTCCCATCTAATTTCAAAACTTTGTGGCTTTTCTCCACCTTTCTTTCTTTCTTCCCCCACCAGACCTTCCTAACCCCCCTTCTCCTAATCTCTGCCTTTGCCTTGCTGGCTTCCCTTCTCTGTTGTGTTCCTTTTTTCTTTTGTTTACTATCATTATATTGATTTTGCACCTCATTTTTCTCTTTCTTAAGTGCTTTTTTAAGTCTTAAGTCCTTCATTTTCCTTCCTTTCTTCCTTCCTTCTTTCTTAGTTAAATGTTGAAATTCATTAAAGATGGCTTCTTCTTCTTCTTCTTCTTCGTCTTCGTCTTCTGCTGCCTCCATCTGTTGTAGTGTTTGTTGATAGTTAACAAGCACCATTTCTAAAAAAAAGGAAGGCTTCTTTCACACCATCTTTACCATCTGTTTTTGCTTGCTCATATTCTTTTCTCAGCTCCTCAACAAAAAAAGCCATTATAAATCTTTTCTTTTCCTTTTTTTCCCCCTCTTTCTTCCTGCACCAACCAGGATATTTCAAAAAATAAAATAAAAAATAGAACAATCCCAAAGTCCTCAATCAATCCAAGTCAAGACAAAGTTCTCACTTTCTCTTCCTGGGGTAGTATCAATCAAAAAAAGAAAGTCCAAATCTGTATCTTAGAGCCTTATTAAAATTATATTCCAGTCTTCAAATCCTTAAGGCATCTCCTCCAACAAACTCTTAACATATGAATATATTTTCTGTCCTCTCCCTTCCCACTTATCACATAAAGTTAGTTTTTAGCTGAAAAAGACAGGTTTCTCAATATCCACTTATTGATTCCGTAGGGAAGGAGAGTAAACTTTCCTTTCAGCACCTCAAAATTGCCGCTTAATTTCTCTTGTGGAAAGAATCATTCAAAAAGCCATAATTTCCAGGAATTGTATTAAATGTGTCTTAGAGTCCTGGGTCAACCAAGAAAACTTTCACTCTCAATGACTTTCTCCTCTTCCTCCTGCGCATTCTTACCCGGCTGCTGGCTTCTTTGTGGCGGCCATTACAGACAGCCGCTGCACCGTCTTGGGAAAAGGGGGTTCTGCCGGCCGGGAAGGGGGTCTGCAACACCCCCAAACCCCTCTCCGGATCCCCCCTATCTTCAGCTACCCCTGCAGGGTAGCCTTAGCTCCGAACCCGTCCGGATCGGAGCACCAAAAGCGGCTAGCGCAGCAGGGATCGCGCTGTATCGCGAATCCCTGCCGCTCGCGAAGCCGACAAACCGGAAGTCCCTCACTTTTTTTTTTAAAGGCAGCTTCAATCTTATAAAAGATGGCTAGGAGCTTTATAACCAGGTAAGGACAAGTAGCTTGGATAACATATTGAGCTTGGAGCTTGAAATCAGCAGAATTCATGACTGTTTGACATTAGAAAGCTCCCGGTCATCTCTTGAAAAATTGAGGCTGCCTTTAAAAAAAAAAGTTGCTTACTTTTTATTTGATAGAATTTTGGTCAAATTACTAAAACCTCGTTTCTGTACTGTATGTGCTGTGTTTTATTTCAGGGGGTCTCACTCCAGGGAGTATGTGGGTGGAAGTTTTTTTCATCTGATATAGGAATGGGAAAGGTATAAATCTAGGCTCATACTTTTTGCTCTTAGTCATACATATATAGTAGGTAGTCCTTGACTTGCAACCATTCATTTAGCAACCTTTTGAAGTTATAATTGCACTGTAAAAATTGAACCTTGCACTTATGACCATTGCAGTGCCTGCACAGTGACATGAATCAAAATTTGGGTGCTTGGCAATGTCTTTATGAGGGTTGCAGCATTCTGAGGTCACATGATCAACATTTTCAACCTCACCATCTGCTTCCAATAAACAAAGTCAAGGGGGGGGGGGAAGCTATTATTCACTTAACAACTGTGTGATTTACTTAATAACTACAGTGATTAGCATTGCAGGGTGAAAAGTTTTTGTAAAATTGGGCACAATTCACTTAACAACTACCTTGACTAATAATGAAAATTCTAATCCCAATTATCTGCACACAAGTATTTCTTTGCCATTATAGTCCTACCACCATAATCTTTGTGACACTGACTATATGGCGACTTTGTTCTTACAGTAGAAAAATATGAATGGTCCCCACTGTTTCTTTTTGTGTTAGTGTACCATAATTGTTTGCATTTGTAATTTGCAAAAATATACCTGATCACTGTGGTAAAAGCCCCCTCCCCTCTTTTCTTTACTCAGGGAGAAGCATGCATCATGGGAGCCAAAAGGACTTACAAGAAGCGTAAGTCAGAAAAGAAATGCATGCAAGGCAAGTACGCTGGAGCCATGTCCTCTGAGCCATGTGTCTGCACAGAAGCAGACTTTGACTGGTGAGTTGTGCTTAATAACAAAGAATGAAGTCACAGCTTATATGGATTTTGCTATATAGATGTACATGTAGCCTGATTTTCTCCCACAGATTGGATAGATGGGAATTGTCTTTCTAATTAATGTGGTACCACCTCAGCATATGCTCCTAACATCGGTAAAGTTACAGAACATCCTATATATACTTCATAAATGGTGACATCAAGATTCAGTATTTCATGATATGAATGCATGTTTTGTACCATCTTATGAGTAGGTAACATACTGTTACCAATTCATTTCTACATTAGTGAAGAATAATGCAGAAGTAATCTTGGTGCAATGATACATGTTAATGTTCTCCAAGCACTTGAAAAAGGGCAGCATTAAGGGGATATCAAGCTCTAACCTTTTCATAGCTGTCCAAAAAGGTGCTGTAGGGTAATTGCAACTTAATTCAACTAAATGCAATTACAGGCTTTGTACCCTACAGGTCTCCCATTTATACAAGTACTGTAGTCTCATTTAACATAGTTAGTTTCACTGCAGCCTTTCTTATCAATATAATTCTTCACTCTCCATGATTCCTACATTTAGCTCCTAAATCCTGTTCACTCTGCAATGTTTTATAATATTAGTGACAAGCTATAAGAACAGAATCAAGCATATAATAAGAATTGAACTTTCTGGAAAGCTATACTTTACAGCCTAATTCTGAATTTAATAATTCATCTGTTTACTTCTTTATGCATTTAATCAATTTACATGGTTGCTCAACCCATAATCTGAAAATCTGGGCAACTAACAGAATTAAAGGCTGAAGAAAATCCACCAAGGTGAAAAACAACACAAATAAACATATAATGTAATTAATGCCAACTATAGTCATTCGATTTCCAATCATTACAGAGAGCCTCATTCTAAGAAAGGCCAGGTCTCTGCGATCTTATTGAGGTCATCTGAATCTCTGGGGTTATGCTGCTCCTGAGAAGGAACAGGAACTAAAATTCTGTTCATTAAAAATCAGAATTCAAGATGACTGGAATGTAGATTTCTTAGTCCATCTCAACAAATATTTACTAATAAATCAGTCCAAAATTAAACAGTCCAACCTAACAAAAACAGGAATACAAGTCAAAATAGGCAAGAAAATGGTAAGATACTACCTATATACTCCAGACAAATTCAAATCACCAGGACCAGATGGATTCCAGTCCAGAATTCTGAACGAGCTGGTGGAGGTGATCCTGGAACCACTGGACCAGATCTTTCAAACATCCTGTAGCACTGGGCAACTACTAGAAGCCTGGAAAAGAGCCAATGCCCATCTTCAAAAAATAGAAAAAAAATGGATTCAGGAACCTACAGACTGACGTCAACACCTGGAAAGATCCTGTAAAAGCTAACCAAGCAACAAACATGTGCACACTTAAAAGCAAACAAAGTTATTACTAGAAGTCAATATGGATTTGTCAAAAACAGATGATGCCTGATAAATCTTATTGCATTCTTTGACAGAGTGACTAAATTAGTGAATCAGTGAAATGCTGTAGACATAATATACTTGGAGTTCCATTAGTCATTGAACAAAGTAGACCACAACCTACTGCTTGCTAAGATAGAAAAATGTGGCTTAGATATTTGTAACTGCTGAACCTCGACATTCAACATGTCATAATGGAACTACTGTATACCTACATGGAATGTGGTATCCAAGGTTCTGTCTTAGGCCCAATACTCTTCAACATTTAAAAAAAATAGATGAGGGAATAGAAGGGGCACTCATCAAATTTGCAGATGACCCAAACCTGGAGGAAATAGCCAACACTTCAGAAGATAGTCTCAAGAGCCAGCAGTGTGATTCAGCTACCAAAAAAGAAATGCAGTCTTAGGCTGCATCAACAGAAGGATAGAATCAAAATCACATGAAATGTTAGTACCACTTTATACTTATTTGATAAAACCACATTTAAATACTTAGTACAGTTTTAGTCAGCATGATATTAAAAAGATGTTAAGGCTCTAGAAAGAGCAACAAAGATAAGGCCATATGAAGAATGGGTTGCAAGATCTGGGTATGTCTGGTCTAACAAAAAGAAGGACTAGGGATGATATGAATCTGTTAGAGTAGACATACCCAGATCTTGCAAAGGGTATCAACCTATCTTTAAAGCACCTGCAGTAGGACTAGAAGAAATTAATAGCAATGTCTCAAGAAGCAATCCATCCTATAACTAAGAAGAATTTTTTTGACTGTGAGAACAATTAATCAGTGAAAGGGCTTGCCTTCGGAAGTTGTGAATTCTCCTTCACTGGAGATTTTTAAGAAGAGATTGGACACCCATTTGTCTGGAATGGTATAGGGTTTCCTTCTTGAGTATGGGGTTGGACTAGAATTCTTCTGAGGTCCTTTCCAACTCTGTTATTCTATTAATCATTTTTGGTTTTTTTATTAACTAAATTTATTTGCCTTCCATCATATTCCAAAGAGACTCTGGCAATCTGTAGCATTAAAAGTATTAAAAACAAAAGACATATTTCTAAAATGATAAAAATAGAATTACAATCAAAGATAATTTTTTTAGCTTTACATTTTTTAAAAATTCTATTTATTTGTTTTAGTTTTAAAAAATCTTTTTTTAAAAAAATATATATCAAGAATCATGTTTGATTATCACACCAAAAGAAAACCTGACATTGCACTTGCAAGTTTCAGATTTGTCACAAATTCTGGATAAAAGTGTGCAGATTTCCTGTGACAGCAGAATAAGTAATTCTTGAACTGTGTTGAAAGAATTGTATATTAAAGGATAGGAAAGAAAGTAAGTAAAGTTTTTGATTTGTATGCATTGCACACTTTTCACAGCCAGGGGGCAATAGTGTTTCAGGAATGAATGTCACAATGGAAATGGTGCACTTTGTCCCAGGAATAATATATCCTAGCAACTGCCTAGAAACCAACCCGTATTTATTTAAGTAATAAATGGATTACACAGTGACATATATGTTATTAAAGAATTTATTTGCTAGATTTTCATGGACTTTATTCCAGCATGAATGGGATTATTCCAGAAACTGATCAAGTATTTGTTTTTTTAAGAAAAAAGATAAGTCTCGATTAACATGCAAATACATCATCGTTGTTGTTGTGATCATTCTGTGTGAATTCTATTTTCTCTAACGTAGTCATTTTTAATGCAATTTTACATGACATTCATTTCTGAAGCATTTTTTTTCATCAGATAAATGCATTACAAGGTTTGGAGAAGTACTGAATAAATGGATAATTGTGATCCAGAGAACACAGTCATTCCATGGATACAAATTAGGTTAAAACACAACTTGAACATAACTCTCCCCATCAGTACATAATGCATCAATGTTCTTCGACAAGAAAGAAAATTTCATTTCTAATTTAATAATTAGGTAAAACAATTTTCAACTAAAACAATAGGATTTCATTAAAACCAAAATCCTAATAATCCCACAAGGAGAAAAAAAACGGGATCCAAAAACACATACAATGTAAGGGCTGTATTAGCCAACATGGAGGACAGAGATGCAGAAAAATAGCAGAGCCTATCACTTGCAGCCAGAATACACAGTGAAAACTCCTTCATCTCACAGCAAACAGCAACCACAATTTCAGTTGGCAAACTGAACATCCTAGGCAAATCCAAATGCCAAAGAATTCCCGGAAACTTGGCATTCAGACAAATTAGTCATTTTTAGACACATGTAAATAAATATTTACACATTGTTCAGAAGAGGCAATAAAAAACTAAGAAGGAAACAAAAAGGCCGGAGTATATCATTTTCAGCATAAACACACATATAAACTGGGATTATGCTATATGGATAAACAATCAAGCAGAAAACCATACCCCAGTAACACTGGCAGGATGGGAGGGGAGCAAATCCCACACTCACCAGCACTGATGATGTTATCTTTTGGAGTAAAGAAACATTTGCAAGCAAACAAGAACCAAGGATTCTGCAGTTCAACCCTGAGCTACTTAAATTCTCTAATATTAGAATTTCATTAAGGCCTACTCTTACATTCTAATACAGATTGTCTATTTTATTTCTCCATTCTTTTAAAATTAATATTAAAATGTATATCTGTGTGACATATAATATGAAGGCTTGGATTAAAAACTGGAAAAAGATGGGAAATCATATGCATACTCCTTAACAAACTTTCCAGGTTCAATTTATGGTCAGTCACTTCTTCACTCACTCAAAGTCTATTGAAACATATAGATCTTGTAGGCCTCCCCTGCTTTCTACTTAGCTTTTTCAGGTAGGTACAGATAGAGCAAACCAAACGCATAATAACCTTGATTAACAACTGAGATATATTGTAATTAGAGACACATATAACTTTTTCTTCACCGAACACTGAGGCACATAATGTTCTTTCTCATAAACTTGCTCTTTATTTTCTTCTTCCAATTTACTTTATGTATTCCTTCTGATTTCTTTGTAACTTCTTCAAGCTCTTAGCAGAAATTCCATCCTGCTCTCCATGTTTTCTCCTAAATTTCTCAGCGTTCACCACATTTGCACATAATCATTTCCATTCTTTACTCTGTCCCTAGTTGCTCCACTAATCCTTATTTTTGTAGTTTTCTCCTTTTTGACCTGTTTTATTTTTTCCTCCACATTCTTTACTTTCCTTCCCACATTTCAATAGCTTTCCTAAGATTTCATAGATCTATTTCTAAAGTGACTAAATTTAATGGGTGAACTCTGATATCTTTAATGGGTAAATTCTGATATCTTAGAGCAATGCAGTCCACCTATCATTGTCAGTCTCTGATTTCATTTGACAACAATTTTTTTTCAAAAGTTTTGCTTCTTGAAATACTTTTTGGTGATTATAATAGATCCCTTCAAACTAAACATCAATATAATTTTGTAATCTTGACAAATACAAAATTAATTTAATGTCTATAATGTATTTAACATATCACATAATATTTCTGACTTGCTGCATGAGTTGAACAGGGCCAAAAATGTTTTGCTGATGATTTTTGTTTGTACTTGGTGTCCAATGCATGTTGCCTTAGTATCCAACAACTGTCAGCCAGCATTGAGAATATCCAGTTGTCCTGATATCCTTTTTCCATTGTGCCAATGTCCTGGTGAAAACTTTCACAGTGTTTGTCAATAATTTCATCTAGATTTTCATGAAAAAGTCCAAGTGTGAATCTTCAGTGTCATGTTCTAGTTATATGATCTTATATGCAGTAAGAAGTTTGTCAACCAGCTAAAAGTAGTTTGATTATATGTTATGACCATAATGGAGACTGCCCATTATGGTAATGTCATAACAGTCATAAAACAGATCAGTCAAATGACCAGCACAATTTTACAACCTTTTTGTGTGTGTGTTGGCCATGAAAAAAAATGCTGTGATTTTGCTGAAAACTGAAAGTGCTGCTTTTTGGCAAATATGTCATGTCATTGATGTCACATCATTACATATGCTTCAAATGGCCATAAATGTAGCTGTATTGATGAGAGCCTGAAGTGTGGGTCATGTAATGCAAGGAGGGGGACAACCATCAGAACTTTGTATCCGGGTAAATAAGTTTCCTTTTTCAGGTCCATTGTAACTTTGAACATTCACTAAGTGACCAGTCAGAAGTTAAGAACTACCTGTAGTGTATTAGAAGCCTATATATCTGTGATTTGTGAACATAATTATTAAGTTTCCCTCAAAGGGGAACATAATCATAACTTGGGAATAGAAACTGAGGTTGGCAGGAAAATCACTTTAACATTTCCTGGAATATGAAAAAAAAAACTTCAAATGGAAGGATGCTAACGTAAATTTTCATTAGTTGATTGAGATAGGTCTGAAGAAACACCATTCAGAATTCATAATGTTGTTTACAATACTAATATTCCTAGCATGTGATGTACTTTTCAGAAATTAATTATATAGTCCTAAGGTGCTATTATATAATGTGGCATATTGATGTACATGGGCATATTGGGAACACAGTACGAAAAGATGTGGAGATTGTGTCCTATCCTTGTGAAATTTCAGATATGAATTGAATATTCTTTTAAAACCACATGACTAAAAAAGCTGATAGCAAGATTTGGGAATGGCTTCCCTTAATAGGGCACAAACACACACACACACACACACAAAGAGAGAGAGACACACACATACACACAGACAGAGAAAGAGGGAGACAGAGAGAAAGAGAAAGAGAGAGAAAAGGAGAAAGAGAATATGAGAGAGACAGAGAAAGAGAATACGAGAGAGAGAAGCATATAATGTATACATTGGTTTCAGCCTGTCACAAAATCAAAATATGCCTTTACCAGATGCTTGGATATAATGCAGCCACTCTGGATGTGCTCCACTCCCCTGCTCAGATTTTAACAGTCATTTTCATCCTCTGCTGCTCCAGATGATGATAGGTGCATTGTGCCTACAGGTAGGCAGCAATTTGTCACAAGCATCAGTGCTCTGTGTGCAACAGAAAGGAAACAACAAATTCATTAGATTGCATATCTGCAAGGTGAGGAAAAGATACTGATGCCTTTATAATGAAATGCAATGGAGCTGCTGGTGACATTTCTCAGCAGCCTATTTGTGTGTTTGTGTGCTTTTACACTGCCATTCAGGTATACAGATTGATATCACTTATGTCCTAGCATATATAACTGATTTTGTGGTGGGGAAAAAAATCCATGTACTTTAAGACCAGATCTATAGAAAGTGGAGTGGGTGATTACTATTCTGTGAAACATACACACACACGTGTGTGTGTGTGTGTGTTTGTTTGTTTGTTTGTTTGAGAGAAATCAGCAATGGGTAAATACCTGAGGCAGACATTATACTGATTTTGCTAGAACAGCTTGTTCCAAATCAGTATCTGAGTCCTAAGCCATGAAAGATATCTATGCATATGTATGTAGACAATGGCCCTGGAATTAATGCAGGTAGCTCTCAACTGACAACCAAATTTGGAAATAGAATTTCCATTGCTTATGCTGTGTTAAGTGGCTCACACCCAATCTTATGATCTGTTTTGCCTGGTCGTTAAGCAGGTGTTGCCTGGTTGTTACTGCCGATGTTAAGTGGCACAGTTGTTAAGTGAGTCCAGCCCCCTCATTGACTTTACTTGTCAGGAACCATCTAAGAAGGCTAAAAATGGAAATCATGTCAACCTAGGATGCTGAAAACATTGAAATACATGTTGATTGGTGCCTGAATTTGGATCATATGACCTTGAATGTACAATGACAGTCCTAAGCGTGAGGACCATCCATAAATAATTCCCCCCCCCCCCAGTGTAACTTTGAATGATCACTAAATGAATGGTTGTAAATTGAGGACTACCTGTAACACAAAACTTGGAAAGCGGTTAATCTTGTCAAATCGTACAGCTTATGTTTACCCTTTTTAATGGATCCAAGCCCAATCAAAGAATTAAGCAGTCCCTCAGAAAGACTTAAACATTGCTTCTCTTTTCCTAAAAATTGTTCACTAGAGTACATGAAGTATAAACCATACATTCAGATAAAATTCACAAAAAATCTTCCCCCTGTAAAAAGAAAAGCACAAGTAGCATATAAGCATAAATTACTTGTATTACAGGAAATCATGCTCTGTATTTTTGTTATTCTGTATTTTGTAGATGATTTTTTTTTAACTAAATACCTGAACCTTTGAAATGGATACAACATTATCACTTTTTAATTATATTAATACAAAAGAATTTGGCAATACAGACAATTATAGTTTATTGACAATCAGATTCAGAGAAAGCATCATTCATTTATGAATATTTGCTTTCTTCTAGAATATTAAAATGAGTTTTATTATTGATTTAATGATCAAATAGTCTTTATGGTTTCTTTAGTAAGAATAAAAAGTAACTTGGATAATGTTGAATAAGCACATCTACATTTGAAATCAGTTAGGTCTCTTCCTAGTATCAACATATTAGAGACTCAGGATTTTTAAGAAGCAATACAAAATCTAGGATTTTTTAAGCTATTGCTCTCTTCTCCACAACCACAGATGATTATTTTACAGAGATAATTGATCTGCTATTGTAGTATACTGTGCATTTCCTGTTCATGTATGAACTATATCCAGTTTCTGATATTTACAGCAGAACAGGGAAGTACCCTGAAGACTTTATTGAATATTATAAACCATCATAAGCTAAATTGGTGAGACTTGGTTTTAGAATTTGTCTAAGTATAAAATATGTTACAACTGCATGTCAGGAGAAGAAATGACATCAGAATAAAATACTTGTCCAGTGGAATTGACATAGTCAAAGCTATTATAAGAAACTTGACAACTTTAAGGTTGTTGTCCAAGTAAGGTCTTGTAGCTGGAAGATTATAGTTTCTTGATCAGAAAGAAAACTAAAATTTCTGATAATTGGGATTATGAATGAATGCCAGATGCCATGGGGAATTTATAGAAAATGCCCAAACATGTGTATCTCTATGTGAAGTAAGTGCATGTGCTTGAAAGAAATCCATATGGTTTTATATGTCAATTTATATTTGAAAAATATATTTCCAATGCAATAATCCACTTGCATATCATCAAAGTAATATTTTTCTTCCCAAACTAGTGATTATGGGTTTGAGCGCCACAGCAATGGCCAGTGTTTGCCAGCTTTTTGGTATAACCCATCATCTTTGTCAAAAGAATGCAGTCTTGGTCAAAGTTATCTCAACAGCACTGGGTAAGTAGTCAAAGCTGTAGTATTTGTTTGTGAAGATTATCAACTGCAATGCTGCTGACCCATTACCATATTATTCCTCAGTCTGTGGTTTTCTTTATATCTTGAGGGATACTTTTTGCAAATGGAAAGCTGAGTCAGGATTATTGTAAAACTATAAAAAGTATAATTATCCTGTATTGATGACAATACAGCAAACCTTTTCAAGTTTTCCAAAATGATAGGTTTACTTTGTCCCTCAACAAATAGGGAAGATTTAAGTTTTATCAATATTGTCTATGATCCTATAAATTTCCTATCACTATATTTGGCAGGTAAAAATTTATATTGAATTATAAAAGTGAAAGTTTACTCTTTATCCCCTCACATTTGAGAGTTCATATGGCCCAGCTTAGTAGTGACACATGTTACTTGCTACTTTATTGTGACAAAACAGCACTGTATACATTTTCCAGTACCATTAACTCTGATAATTGGTGTGTTACTTCTTCTTCTTAATATCAGAGCATGACATGTGGCTAAAGTTCTGTACCAAGTCAATTTATACTGTTTCATGATTCAGTGGTTTAAAAATCTGACATGTGACAGCGATGGTCTGGAAAAGGGAGCTATCATTAGAAACAAGCAGCTTGTAGCTAGTCTCTTCAGGGTTCTTTGTTCTTTTCACAGGTACAGAAAGGTCGTGTCTAATAACTGCACAGACGGTGTGCGTGAGCAGTACACAGCCAAGCCACAGCAGTGTCCTGGCAAAGCCCCGCGAGGACTTCGGGTTGTCACATCAGATGGCACACTGACATCAGAACAAGGGCATAATGTTACCTTCATGGTACAGCTGGAAGAGGTATGGTCTGTTTAACATATTCCCCACTGGGGTTTGAAGTCAGAATCATTTAGAAGAAAATGAATGGGACTGAACAGAATTAATTAACCAGTGTGATTTAACTGATTAGTGACTTGACAAACTTGAGCTGTACATCTGGTCTGTCATCCTGTTATAAAAAGGGCTTGGTTCTTTCCTCCATGGCCTATCTTGTTGGCTATTTGTACCTCTGCCCTCACTGGCACATTAAAATAAGAATATCTGGGCTAATGTTGCAAAACAAATGGCAACAATGTCATGTACAGCATTTGTAAAGCATGGGTTTCTAGAACATCTCATTTTGCAATTAGCATGTTCACAGTCTAAAAAAGTATAGATTAAAGTGGTTTTGTAACTGACTATTTCAGATAATTATGTTTACTTTATTTTCGCTATATAAAGATTAAGGAAGAAAAAGGTAAAAAAAAATGTTTCTAAAATGTAAAAAAGATGTCTTACAAAAATATAGCCAAGGGATCTTATGTAGTGTCTATCAACTGAAGGGTAAAAAATATATAAGAAATAATCAACCAAAAATTATTTAGACACATGTGTAAATTTTAGGGTTGCTAAATATAAAGAAAAATCTGCGGTGTATGGCCCCCAGCAAAACCCATGCTCTTGAATTTTGCAGTTTGCACATGATTTTGCATTTCCATAGATTTCACCAGTTCTAATCTTTTTTAACTGGTATATCACATTGTCTCTCTTATACTTTTCAAAGGCTCGAGGTGTATGCAAGATTCAAAGTTGCATTGGTAAATATATTGGAGTAAAAAAATGAACTATGCTATAGACGGAGCTATATGAATGTATAAAAGGAGGAAAAAATTACATTATGCAACTGGAAACCTTGTTTGTACAATAGATTTGCCATATGAAGAACTGTCTTTTCTTGGTTGCATCTTCCCTATCTACCAGAATATGGAGGCAGGAAATGGTATAGATCAGTGGTGCGCACACACTCACATACCAGCACCCAGAATTCAATGCGTGCCCCCCTTCCCACACCCCCTGCACATGCCCCGCCATCCCCTTACCTGCACTGTGCCTCACAGCTGATTTATCGGCTGGTTTAAGGCCTTTTTCGGCCTCCCAGAGGCTTGGAAAAAGCCTCTGCAAGGCTTTTCAAGTGAATTATAGGCCCGTTTCATCACTTCTGGTATTACAGGAAGTGACAAAATGGGCCTATAATTTGACCTGAAAAGCCTTGCAAAGGCTTTTTCCAAGCCTCTGGGATGCCAAAAAGGCCTCAAACCAACCGGAAAAAAAATCAGCTGTGAGGTGCGTGCATGCACAGTGAGGTAAGTTTGCCTGTGGCTCACGTGCCAGCACAAATGGCTCTGCATGCCACTTGTTCACCATCACGGGTATAGATCTCCTCCTAAGAAGATACATCTAATAGGATCAAGAATCACCTTCTTCATGGTGGATCCTTAGATCTGGAACATCATCTCCATAGATATAAGATTGACACCCATTTTGACACTCTTTTGAAAGGTCCTGAAAACCTGTATCCCACCCCAGTATACAGAGAAAGAGAGGGAGGGAGGGAGAGAGAGAGGGAGAGAGATTTTACACACACAACCAACCCCTGCCACAGTCTCTTCTACATCTAAGGCACAGAATGGCACCAGAAGGATGACAGCCCCATGATGCTCGGCATTCAAGATTTGGCCAAAGCAAATGCAGCTCTATGGGTTCAAGGCACAACAAAAGCCACATGACTCCAACATGTTTTGTTATTTATTTATTTATTTGTTTGTTTGTTTGTTTATTTATTTATAAAATTTGTAGGCCTCCCATCTTACCTCAAGGTAACTCTGGGCATCTTACAAGGTTTCAGGCACAAAGCAGGGAACTTGGTGTCAGTGGGTTCCAGGCACAATGAAAACAGCATGGTCTCAATAAGTTCAAGGCACAACAAAGGCAATTTAACTTTGATAGGTTCAAAGACATGACAGTGGCAAAATGGCTCCAGCAGTTTCAAGGTCTTATGACGGTAGCTTGGTGTCAATGGGTTCAAGGCAATAGATCAAGATTACTCATGGATCAACAGATTACAAACAATTGTCTCTGACAAGTCCCAGGCTCCAATGCTGAAGTAAATAGATACTGACCGTTGTACCTATTAGCAAGGCTGAGGCTGCCTCCTTGCAAGTAGCCTTGCTGACCTCCATTGCACCTCCTTCTGCTCAGCTGTGTGAAATCTTGATTGGGTGTAGATGTCAACTCCTCTTCTGCTGGCCAGCTGTAGCTGCACCTTTTCTCTGACCTGAGAGGCCAACTGGTCATCCACAATAATTGAATACAACTGTGCCTCTTCTCCTTGCACAGCTGGCTGATCATCTGCTTCTTGGTGCTGGATTCCCCTGACATTCCTGGTGTAGTATCACCTACATCATCCAAATTTGTCTGAGAGCCTTCATATCTCCCTGGTGCTCCTCATAGTGCCTTCTTAGATGTCCCCAGAACTAGCACTTCCCCATTGTCCAAGCCAATGCCCAAGGGAGCCATCACAATCTAGTTTTGTCAGTAAGTCTAGGGAGCTTGATGGGGCATATTAAACAGCTTATTCGATTGACTGTTGTTGCCAGATGGCTGGGGATATATTGCTTTCTAATGTTTTTATATTGAGTTTTTAACTTTGTAAGTGGCCCAGAGTCACTGAGAATTAGTTGGGTAGTCATATAAATTTTGTTAAATAAATAAAATAAATTTGAGAAAAGGGCAAATTGGAAAAAATGTTATGGACAAGCAATACCATTTGATGATGATAGTTTTCAAGGTCACTTTGAAAAGCTGAGTTTCACTGAAGGGGATATAGAATTATATGGCTGAAATTAATTTGCATAGTAAAGATGGAATGATATACATTTAGATTATAATCCCGAATTCATTTATCAAGAAATAAACTCTATTCAAGTCCATGGGACTTAATGTTAATTGGACACATATTTTTTAATCAATGCAAGAGATTAAAAACATTCATAAGCTAAATTTAATAAAACAAAATTATTCCACCAGAAGAACCTTCCATACCATTTCCATCAACCCTGCATCTTCAGCATAAGCAAAAAGTTAATATATATACAGAAAATATAAAGCAAATTACAGATAATTTCACTTTGGAAGAGAAGTAGAAGAAACATGTGCCTGATACAAAGACCAATTAAAACTTCATTTGAAACATCTGCAAGGATAAAGAGATAACACATAACTAAAAACTTCCAACTAGAATGTGAGGCTTGGGATTCAATTTTATAAAATTTGAGTTGCATCTCATTGTTTTAATACTTTGATTTACATATAAATCCTGCACTTTGTAGAAAAAGAATCATGCTTGCAGCCTCTTGAATGAGATTGAAATTGACTGTTTGAGGATATTATTCTCATTAGAATGATTAAAATTAGCAATACCATCTCTTAAGAGCCAAAATGCAGAGGATGTAATCAAGGTATAATGATGTTTGATAAGCCCGTCAGGTTGTTATATCAAAAGAACCAGGAAAACTGGAAGATGAATATAATTAAGTAACATGATCATCAGGCAAACATAAAAAAAGGAATCTTCACCAGGACTTTGCTAACAAATTTGTCAAACAAAAGCAATAACTATGGCAAACCAGCAGAAACATATCTTACTTTCATGCCTTCATGGAATAATAATTTCCCATGAATGAAAGAGGAGTAAAAAAATAAGAGCTCTTTCAAACTGAACTATATGTTGACATAGGTTTTGAGAGAAAACCATACTAAATTTCAAACTATGCTAAGCTTCCAGTGTTAAATAGCTATTTTGCTGTTTTAAAATAGGAACCATAATAATGGCAGTGTAAATGCCATTGTAAGTGGAGGAAATGCAAACTGAACAAGAGTAGAACATGACATTGGAAAAGTTCTTGAGGAGATGCACTAACATAGTGGTCGCCAACCAGTGGGCTGCGGTCCAGTGGTGGTCCGCAAGAAAATTTTGGTGGTCCGCAGAGAAATGCCACCCCAAAGCCCCCCCCCCCAAGCAATTAATCCAGGCTGCAGACGAACACAAGGCTGGGCTGTCCACATGACCCAGGAACACAAGGCTTGCATTGCTTGCATTAAGAACAACATGAGGTAGTGAGGGGAAGGGGGAAAGGGGGGAGGGGGGAACTTGCCTGGCCACCGGGTTGCTTCTTTCTGCTTTTTTTGTCTTCTGCTTTTGGCTGCATGCAAGGAAAGCAGCAAAAGTCTTTCTATCCCCCAAACTCTGCCAGAAATGAGTTTTGGGACCCTGCAAGACATCCTGCTCCAAGAGGCTGCAAAGACTCATTTCTGGTGGAGTTTGGGTGAGAGAAAGAAAGGCTTCTGCTGTTTTCCTTGCGTGCAGCCTGAGAACAGAACTCAAAGCAGGCTAGGAATGTGGCTGCCTTGGAGGGGGGTGGGAGTGTGTGAGGGAGAGAGAGAAAGAGAAAGAGAAAGAAAATCACCAGCCTTCAGGTTAGATCGATCTCCCTCCCCACCTCTAAGAACGGAGCTTAAAGCAGGCTAGGAAAGGGGCTGCGTTGGAGGGGTGGGGTGTGTGAGAGATCTCTGTGTGTGAGCGATCCAACACTGCTGGGGAATTCACGGGGGGGGGGGGGAATTTGCATGTGTCTGTGTCTTTTCTTTCCAGCCTCAAGGTGGGGGGGGGGTTGCAAGGAAGACACACACACACACACACACACACACAGAGAGAGAGAGAGAGAGAGAGAGAGAGAGAGAGAGGAGGGAGTGATCCATTGTTGCTTGGGAATAAATGTTAGATAGTACTGTGCATTCAAATGTTTGTCCTGTAATGACTGGAATGAAAATTGAGTGGAAATGGGTATTTCTTGCTTGCTGACAAACTTTCATAAGTGTGAAAGTATAGGGAAAAAAATACTAGTTACACACTACTCTTAACAAAGACAAAACACCAGGAGTTTGGATCCTCCCAAACCCAAAGGATGAGAGAAGCCCTTCCT